AATATATGGCTAAGCGCACACAAAAATTTGAAATTTCATATCGATTGCGGACGGGCGCGCGCTTGCCAGCCTTAATTTGTAAAAAAATATTTATTCGCCTTAATAGACATCAACACGTCCCAAAGACGTATATTTCTTGTTTTGCTTTTTACCGCAAACTTGTGTTATTGTTTGCATTTTTTAATACTCAGCTCGGTGTTTTCTTTTTCCGCTACGACTGACTGCAGTACAAGCGAAACGCCCATTTTGGACACAACCCCCACCAGCAGCGAAATGATTTGGACACTGAAAAAATTTTAAAATATTAAAATTTTTTCAGTGTCCAATATCGACGGCACTTCATAAATCTTTACGGAGCTGCTCTACTTGCGCTGCAACACTGGTACAAGCTCAAATCCGTTCTTATGATCGTGGGATATTTCATTTGATACGATGCACATTAAAGTCGCTACTACGAGTATAGCAATTGCGCATGCGTAAAGGAGGGCCCAGGCTGACTGACTACCTTTGCGGTGTGCTCATTCCACCACGATGTGGTCGGCATTGCAGGTGATAGATAACTAAGGGCTCTGATGCTAATGTGATTACAGCCTTTAAGTTTATAAACATAATTTGAGCCGTTGATCACTTTACTTCTGCTCTTCACGGGCTGCACACAGCCTTTGGAATACCAAATATGCGCTATGCGGGTTCGGTTATTGTGCCACAATTTTACTACAGCAGCGGCGGCAATTATGGCACAGCAGCTTTTTGATTTCAATGTTGTTAAAAAAAGCATTGCTCTTTTAGGATTCACTTTTCGATTTATTATTTTTATTTGTGAATTTTTCATTCTTGTGCCTTTCTCGCATTTTTTTCAATTTCTTAAGATGCGGTGAAGTTCTTTAGTTTCATAGCAATCATTTTGGGGAATCACCTTTTGTTGTCGAACTGTCTTGTATAACAGGGATTTGTGTAAATTGACAGTCAACTTCTTTTTTTTACAGTGGGTGAAATAACACAAATAGAATAGTTTATATAATTTTAAAGGGAGTAGTGTTAATATTTCCAACAGAAATATTTTGTTTTATAGATTTATAACAATAGCTACATATATCAATATGTTCTTTTCCAGTTTCGTACACTAAGTGCGGTTAGTGCTTTCTGCTTATTTTTTTCTTAACTTGATTACTCCACCGGAGACATAGTCTATCTTTACGCCTTCTTCTTCCAATTATTGCTTCAAACCCTTTTTTTGGTAAAGAATCTTTCTTCATTTTCATAAAATGACTAAGCCAGCTAAACCACTGTGTTTAAATTCACTGAATTAAATCAATATCATGATTAAGATGGTATCGTTCCAAAACTCGGACCAAAACTCTAACGAAGAACTGTTCTATCGAACACTCCCGGTGCTGTTTTATCATTCTGTGATATCGTCTATGCTTCTGCGCTATGAGGGATCTATAGATCATAAGTTTTGTCTACCGAAAGTAAGTTCCACATCTTAATTGCCTACGGAGCCCATAGTAGTACTTATAGGTGCAATTGCGATTCTACGTTTGATCGTTCGTATTTGTTACGGCGGTGCCAAGGTAGATGAAATACTTGATAGATTCAAAATTATCAACTAGCTCGGCATTCGTGCGACGCACATTTCTACCATAAACCGACATATACCGCTACGTCCATATTCACAGACTTCTTTTTTTGGTACCCGCAAAGGCAGCTGTAACATCACCTTTGATTACTGAATAAAGAGCAATGACACTCAGTAGAAATAATAGGAAAATTCTTTTTAGAAATCACGTACTCCTTATAGAAATAAAAATTAAATAATTACATAAAGCTTATTAAGTAATACTGATTCTATGGTAAAGATAAAATAAATTATTATAGTATGATAACGTTAATATTCCACTTATATCATTAGTTGTGTATACTTTTGTAAATCAATAACATTGAAGATGGGCCAAAATATCTGTGTAAATCTATACATCTATATAATCTTTATATAGATATGTATCTATATGTATTTATATAAACTAAAATTTTTGTTTAAACCTAATTGATAAAATTTTAGTTTTTATTTAAATATATTTCTTTATAATATTTAGAATAATATACAAACCGGGACAAAAAAAAAATACATTTTTTTTTGTTGAAATTTGAACACATAAAATCTGGATCTGTTCCACTGTACTTATTGGTCAAGCAGGAGCAATAGATTAATTTTTGACTAAAGATTCACTTTTAGTCACTTTTTTAAACGTAAAGAATTAAATAAAAGCAGATTGCTGCAAACTTCAAGTGATTTTATAATCCTTAATGGAATTCCTCCAATTTTGTTGAAATTTGATTTTCTTAAGCTTTTGTGTTTCTTTGCGGAATGGTTTATTTTGTTGCTACAATACCTGGCTATAATGCCACCAACCCACCAAAGCTGAATGTTGCACACATTATCAGTTGGAGGAGTCCCTGCTGTTTTGAGATGATTTCAAAAATGGAAAGCTGCCACTTGCTTTCAGACTCTCAAATGAGTTTAACTTTTCGGCTTTGAAAAATCTGAACCTGAGCGGCATTTGCTTTTCAGTCTTTATATTCAGATCATGAGACTCAATTTGAAATTCGTAAATTTTTTGTTTTTGCTAAATTTATTTTTAATGTTTTGTTATAATTTTTTCATATGCAAACGTATTTTTGGTGGTTCGCATGTAGGCGGTTCCAGTTGAAAACTAATTTAGCTTCAGGCACAGCAATTTCGGAGTTTTTGTTCTGTTAGCACATTTGTTTCTGCATGAATTGCATGGATTGCATTTTATATATGTAAGAGTGTATGTGATGTTTTTTGAATGAAGAGTTCATAACAAATTTATCCTGATTTTAATTTGGAATCAAAAGTGTGCCAACAAAAATTTTGTACGGAAATTGTTGTCATTGTAGTAATCAAGTGCTGATATTGTTTGTGATGATACTGTGTATGAAAAGTGAATAATAATTAAACTGAACAAAATAATTAATGGAAAAAAACTTGTTTGATTTATGTATTTATATATATATATATATATATATATATATGTTTATATTATAAATGTTTTTATTAGAATATTTATTGAATGATGATAGATGGTATCAGAAATATTAGTGTAGATAAAAAAATTATTATATAAGTGAGAGTAGCTGAAATATATGAAAAATATCTCGTTAGTATTGCATTCCATTGTTGGCACCGCAATAAGTATTCTGTACTTCTTATGAAACTATATAAGAATCGACCATGACGTTTTTTAACAGATTCAACACATAATTTCCAACAGATTCTGTGATATAAATAGAATTTTGATTTATTATGTTCTCTAAGAGTAGTTTCAGTCCTTATATTAATTAATTTTATAACTAAATAATGTTTACATTACGATAGCAATACTGGTTTAAAAATTCTGTCCATTATCAGACTTCCAATTAATAACAAAGTTTTTAACAATTGCAGCATTCTTGCAGGTTTTGTATAAATGAGTTCAATATTCCATAATTAAGTACCATTTATTATTGTGAATTGTACCAATAAATATCCTTTACACCAACCTTACCATATAACTAGTGTTAAAGTTCACAATAACGCTATTATAGGTTGTGAAGTTTCTGTACCGTTGAAGCACAGACAAAGCAAAGATTATGCGTTTATTCATTATGTCCATTCAAGACCAAACAACTTTTCTTCGTGTCTGACTACCATTGAACGTCCTTTTCTCTCTATTCACTTTTAATCAAAAAAACACAAAACTTTGTAAATATAAAACCCAAAAATTGTACTTCACTGATTGTCCTTTCGTCTCGATGTAGCAAAACTATGGAGGCACAAGATCGCAAATCGTCACCAAATAAATCACACAAGCACCCAAACTAACAATATGAATCGAAAATATAGCAACAATTTTTATACTATATCACACACCTTCTCATACACACATTTATTGACTCTATTTTACGTTTGGAACACTTAAGATCATTGTGTTATACACAGTTTTTGTTTACTTTAATTGTTCCACACTTCGAAGCTTATTGTGCTTTTAGCTGGCTACTTGAGCTGGTTACCATGAAATCAAAGAGAGTCATTTTTTTGTTCTGCATTCGTAATCTGTATATTATTTGTCTGAGGTTGAAGGAACATTAGCATTTCATATAAAAGAATTTTTTTAGCATTTGCAATAGCATTTTTGCAGGTTCTATATGAATGATTTTATTGTTTCATAATGAATAAGTACCAATCATTATTGCGAATTGAAGCGGTGAATAGCTTTTACACCAACCATATACCATTTAAATAATGACATTCCAGTTCACAATAACATTGTTGCAATTCCTTTATTAATAAAGTCTATAGTTTTTGACCCAAAAAATATGAATATTATTTAACAAGTCAGTGACTACATAAATAGGAAAATTTTATCTATACCTGCTTTTCATTCAACAATATCAGTTACAATAGCATTCTAGCAGGCTTCATACAAAGAACATTATTATTCCATGGTGAATATTATTTATTATTGTGAATTAAACTGATTACTAGTCTATACATCACTCACATCATAGAAATAAGACGAAGTTCACAATAGCGCTATTACAAGTTTAGACATTGCGCGGACGGTAGTATAATAATGTGATAGTAATATAAGTTTAATGATATTATTCAAATAATAGCGATATTATTGTGTACTGATATTTGCTCAGCAATTTTCATAAATATTCAATAGATTGCTGGATGTTTGAAAACAATTTCTTATTCATTCACATTCACTATTGCGAATTTCTGGTTTAAAGATGTACTATTTGGTTCAAGAGAATAATTTTTTTGTTTATGCTTTTATGAGTTTTTATTAATAATAATGGGTTTATGAACAAACTAAATTGTTTGTTATTTTAACAATTTGCTGAATCAGTTTTACAAACTGTTATACATGGCATTAAAAATAATTTTTTACTTTATATTATTTATAAGTTATTAATGATATAAATAAATTAAAATAATTTAAAGAGAACATATTATAAATAGCATAGGTTAAATAAAGTATATGTTAATGAACGAAAAGAGATTCACTAATCCAATTCAACACCTTCACCATTTATTTGTATGGTGATGCTTGTTGAATTTGGGTTGCCACTTGCGTCAGCAGTAGTTGCTTCAGCATTTGTTGCTTCTCTTGGGTTAAGCTCCTTGAGTGATATAACACTGTGACGATGTGATTCACGTTTGTTTGCTGCAGCAGTCAGTAATTCCTTCTGACGTTGCTTTGACTGTGCAAAAGCAGAATCAGTGAGTTGTCGCAAAATCTCACTATTACGTCTGCTTCGTGCTGTGGATGCTGTAGCTATGGTCAGTTGTTGTTGTTTCTGTTCCTGCTGTTGTTGGCGTTGCAATAAAAATTCTTTACGTCCTATGAAACCATTTGAGAATCGACCATCTGCAGAACGGGAACGACGCTTTTTAACGGATTCTGCACGTAAACCTAGCAGATTCTGTAAAATATATATATATTGTTTATAGCATATATCAAAAAAAAAAAATACAAGCACTAACCTCTCGCATATCACTCTGTTCACCGTTTTTTTGTATATAACGCAAACCATGTTGCTGGTCTAGTTTATTCGACATTTGGAACATCCAATCTTTAGCTTGAGCCAAAGACAAAGAAGACTGTGAACGTTCGGGCATACGTGCAAGAAAGAGTGACTCACGTGTTGCGCTGGCTGCACTGGTATCCACAACAAAGAACCGTGGAAAATCTAGAACAAATTCGCGACTACGAATGAGATCCGAAAGTGCAGCAGATGGTGTTTGACCACCGGTTGCACCATTGGCGTTTCCAGTGCCTGTAGTATTATTTGTTGAACGATCTGGTTCGTATTCCAAAATACTCTCTTCACTGCCCAAAAACTGTTATTAAGATTAAGATTAAGTTGATTAATATTGATTAATTTTTTGTTTGAGTTTGAGTATGATTTGTGTAATCTTCGGGAGTTGTAAAAGCAGTTAATTTAAAGCAAACAAGCACTGAAGCAGGTCCTTTGTTTTATTCTAAATATTAAATTAATATAATATATATCATTTGAAGCTTTAGCATTTACTGAGGGGAAAAACGAGGGGAAAACAATTTTTAACTTTTAACTTTCAAAATTCAAAATTTATTTTATATTTAATATTTTTTTCTTTTTTATTTTTAATCTTAAGTCAACACGAATATGAGTATGAATATTTTGAACTCCAGCAAAATAAAACAAAATTGTATCTTTAACTATTTTTGTAGTAGAGAACAGTGGGTAGCAACTATATAATTATGTATCTGCGTTTTATTTATTGAATTTTATAAATTTTAATTTATGTAATATTTTGTATAAATTTTTTTATTGTTAACTACGGAAAAAGCAGTTTCATATTAACTCAATGTCAACTACACGTAAATTTCTTATTTTATCTAAGTTGATGTCTTTCAATGTTTGCTTTGCAGTTATATTTTTGTTTAAATTTTTTTTATTAATTATACTAAATGTGCGTTTAGTTGTTGAATTTTGGAAGTTCACTTATCAAATTACTGCAATTAATTTAATCTTAAGTCATGTTCACTTTTATCTTAATACTAAAATTTCTTTATTTTGCGAGTGTTTCATGAACTACTTTGATCCCAATTTATCATAATTTCTTTTATTATCTCTTTAATTATAATTACATATATTATACATACACATATATTATATATATATTTTATACATATTATATATTAATATATTGTATATTTATTATATTTAAATGGGCACGAAAAAAAACGAAAATGATTTAGAAAAAATTCAAAATGTCAATTTTAATTTTAAACATGTTCGCTTTTAAATATTTTAGATCTGCCCTCGTATACAAATTTTAATATTTATATTAGTGAACATGCTTAGATTATTTATTAAAATGCTATTTTTAATTTACAGACAATTTATATTATTGAATTTATAATATAATTATTTGGCACCTTTAATTTTGATTGCTTTTCCTTTTATAAAATTTTATTATAGTTATTTATTATATTTTTGAAATGTGTTAATTTAAAGAAATTACTAATACCAAAAAAAAACAAAAATGAATAATTAATAAAAATAATATTATAATATGTATATATTTTAGGGAACCCAATTGAGTGAATTTGCAGATTTAAAATATAATTATGAATATATGGACATAGTCAGGTGGGCTTTATGGGTTAATCATCATACTCTTATAAAAATGTCAGAACTAATATTTCATGAGGAAAACTAAGGCCGCTCCTCCCCTTAAATGTGATTGATCGATATGGAATGTTCTGACAGTTTATGTAATGTCTTTGTCTTTTCTTTCATTTATAAATTATAAAATTTTAGTTATTGATCATAATTAATATTGATCATAACTAAATAGTGATCACCTTCACTTTTTTTTTTTTATATTATATATTATAACAACTGTTTTTTCGATTATAAGTGGCTAATGGAACTACCTTCTGAAATTAAAGACCGAAAATCGTGTGCTTCGGTAAAAGAAGGTTACATTTAGTACAAAGATGTTGTTGGATGTTGTCTTGCTTTTTATGTTCTAAGCTTCTATTTAAAAACATGCGTGTAAAATAAATTCCATAAATAAATAAAAAGAGAATATTGCTAGGTATATATGTAGGTAAAGTAAAAAGAGTCCGATCTTCTTCCTATAAGACTTGAACCTATACTGCTATGAATGTTCTAAAACCATTAACACGAGGAAAGTTAAGTGTGGTTATAAAATTTCTGCTTTATAAGCAAATAATTAGATATACATAAACTATCTTATGATTGTGTTACTCATGGCAATGCTGCTCCATCCACTATCAAAAAACATCAAACTAATCAGATAAGCACAACATCGATAAACGTGAGACTTCTTGGCCGATTTCTAGAAAACGTTTTATGCGGAACAATTTAGTTCGTCGCAGGGATTATAAAATAATCACAAGCCATTATTGAATTGCATTCCATGCACTTTATATCCGACTCAATTATAAAGACATTTGTTGGCGACACTCATGATTAAATGTACCTATTGGTCAATAGTTTTTGAAGGTTTAATTTATGACTTTCGAATTGCCTCAAATTTTTGAAATCTTTTTATAATAAGTATTTATTTTTTTAATATTATTTCAGTTGTTTTAGTGCTTTCTCTGTGACTGCTCATGGATTGAAAATAATAATAAAAAAAAAAAATTTGATATATAAATTAAAAAGTAAAATCAAAAAAAAAAATTACCATAACAGCTTTGAAAAAAATAACACGAAACCAGGCCATTAGTAGAAGGTAATGATAAATATAAATAAAAAAAGGGAAGAAAGTTTATCAAAAAAGAAATGTAATCAAACAATCTTGGAAAAATAGAGTTGGACACTTTCTAGTACACCAAGAAGTTTTTGGTTATATTGCTAAACAAATCGATAGAACACTAAGAACGGCTGTTGAGCTATAAGAAGGTGGAACTCAGAATGAGACTTTAATTCTTAAGTGATAAGCTCTAAATAAGTATGCAGAATTTGTCTCTCCTTAAAACTAGAAAACCGTCCATTATTATCTTTTTAAACTACCGAAAACTACCAGTGTAATAGAATAAAGACATCAAATATCGAATATATAAAAGTAGGGGCATATCACAACTATGTGTCATAAAGACAAACATTCAGCTGGGGATAACTTCTTCTGTCTCCAAAAGTTCTAACACGAATGGAGTTTTAAAAAAGTCCGGCTGAGAAGGTCTTTATAGTAGCCAGTAATTTAGCTTTATCTGGATATCCGGAATTATAAACAGGTCTTATTAATATTGTACATCCCTTGTTGCCTTCAGCCCTAAATTATAAGGTAATGAAGGCATGTTTTAAAATCTGCCATAGATTCGGCACTATCTAACGAAGAGTAAGTTTATCACAAAAATCCAAAAAGAACAATAGGTATATAGTAAAACATTCACCACACTGGTAATAATGGTATTTAACTGATATTGGAGGCATCAAAAGCTTCGAATGAAAAATTTTTTAGAAAGGATTTGGGTCAATTGCAGAATCTGATGGTTGAATAGAGTAGTAAAATAATAATACACTTTACATCATATTGAGAATTAAAATGAATGCCAAATGTAAGGTCTTCAAATTAAATTTTATTGATCTGAAAGGTTTTTCTTGCGGACAAAGATAAGGATGACGAATTCGTTTATAGATGCTCTTCTGATTAGAGTATTGAAATAAAATTTATTATTTTTAGAAATGCGTTATATACAACTTAAAGATAATAAACTTTACTAAACCCTCATCCTCTTATGCAGATAAAATGCGGAGAATATGTATACAAGTATAACTATATTGAATTATTATAGTTCAGAACTGTTTAAAGTACCACAAGCTAGTATTTTCTAAAGATATTAAAGGAAGAGTTTCTGAAAAAGTAACTGCGCTAATTAAGTAAATGACTGAAAAGAGTAACTTTGAAAATAGTGTTATTAAATAACTTTGGAAAATATATGTGAAAATATATATATCAGAGAAATTTCTAGCTCACAATACGAATCGCACCGAAGAAGTTGCAGAAGATGAAGGAATTTTTGTTATAGAAATTGTGCTTTCATTTAAATTTCTTTTTACTCAATTTGTTTCATTTGGTGAAAAATCTTAATGTTTAGAATTTTTAGGGATAATTTTAGATCGAGTAGTTATAATAAATAATATTGGGTTTCAAATTATTAAATCACAAGCAAGAGTCTTAGACTGCAGGGTTACTCATTACTCAAAAAATAATTTAATTAAAAAAATATACATCAAAATTTTTGTAATATTGTCCTTTTTCGGAAACTTAGTGTAATAACGAATATAAAATAAAAAAAATTATAAGTTTATGTATTTATGTTTTTAATGAATTATTTGGTAATTTAACTAGATTTTAATTTACATCAAACGTTATTAATAATAAAGTTTATTTTACATTATATGTAGTATGCGCTCATTAGCAAATGTACCTAAAACAATAAAATATCTCAGTTAAATATATATAAGATAGTAAAAGTTTTCAATCAAGATGTGAATATGACATATAATTAATATAAAAATTTCTTGAATTTAACAATCCTTAATTAATAATTAATCCTTAATTAATATTTTTTGAAATAAAAATATATAAAAAATTACTATATTTGGGCTGATATCTTATTGAACATCAATCTATTATCGATATTTTAATGTGAATATTACAAAAAATATTAAAGTGATGAAGAATTATATTTTACTTTTGCATCTTCCATATTTTGGGTACAAACTCTTTGTGAGCACATACTACATTGAGCATAATATACATACAATTTTATAGCTAATTTACATTAAATAAGTCTTAAAACTCTTAAGTATTTGGATGTTGTGTAAAATCAACAATATCGCATTTAGTATTATTTAGCTTACATATCGAGTACATGAATATAACACAACAGTTAATGTGTTTATATGTATTTACGAGTATATAATAGTATATAATTATTTACATGTATTATGAAAACAAATTAACAAAATAAATCTTTCTGTTTCATATATTTACAATAAATTTTTTAAAAAAATATGTACAAAAAGTCGAATCGGTTCTTAGCACACAAAATAGGAAAACATACGATTTAAAAGCACAATATAATATATAACATAAATGATTCATATACATAAAGTGACTCATACGATGGGTAACTGAAAAGTGTATAATTCAAACATCAGTCACTTGACGACTGGCAGTGGAGACCTGCAACACTATCGGTGGTGCTGAGTTACGTCGGTTGCCATCGCGGCCATCATGGCCATCACGGCCACCACACCTACTACCACCAGATGTTGTTGTGATAGGTTGAATTTGGTTATGGCTTTGTCCATTGTAATTAGTATTGCTACTCAAATGATAATTACAACTATGTTCACTTATTATATTATTACTATGGCTATTGTTACTATTTCCACTGTTGCTACTACTACTGTTATATCTACTACTACTACTGCTGCTACTTCTACTGTTACTACTATTAATAATATCTTGCTGATGATCTTGCTGTTGTATTAGGTTATTTGGCGTAACTACTGCTGTAGTATGTGGCGCTATTGCAACCACAAGAACTGGCACTTCATTATCTTCTAGAGGCGCAACATTTGGCGGAATATGCTGTGGACTTGGTGTTGAATGTATTTGATCACCCACCACATAACCGTAATACTTAAGTACATCCAACTTGCACATCGGGCAAGTACGATGTTCAATTAACCAAGGATCGATACAGTTTTTATGAAACTCATGCCTAATACGAAAAGAAACAAAAAAATGTTTATGTAATTTAATTATTCATAATTAATAGTTGAAGTATTATTAAATACTTACTTGCAAGGTAGTACTCGAATACAGTCAGAGGCTTTGTAAGCTTCAATGCAGATAGCGCAACAATCGCTGTCAATATCTTTCTCATCGCTGCTTTTTCCAGTTTTGGTTGGAATTTTCATTATAGCTTTTTTGGTAACGGAACACAAGTGGCGCTAAAATAATTAAATATATTATTTTATTATACATTTAAGTTTTACAATATTATAAATAAACAGTATAGTAAAATATAGTGTGTTTTAAAAGTATTTCATGTCTCACTGATATGCTAGTTTGACCAAATGTTCATACTTCAGTGTACGGGACATCATATATTCTATGTAGTATATGTATATATTATATGTATCTTCTATCGGTGATCATGAAAACAGCACCTTCAAAAGGTTTTTACACAATTCTGGACCTCTTGCTGTTACAATTTTCATTGTATTGCTATGTCTGCTGATTGACTCAACTACACCAAAATATAGGGATATAGAAATTGGGGCACTAAGCAATTATTTAGCTATGTTCACAGGTGTAACAATAAATACCGATTATGGTAGATTACAACAGCCACAATTTTCTACAACAAATACAAAATTTTTTTCACGACTAGGCGAAGTTGGCACTTTGTTCAGTCAAATAGTGGCGAGCCAGTCTATACATGTGTATACGCATTACTCAATATTAAAAAAAAAAATGTGAGGGTCGCGTATTCTAGGATAGCTATTTTATTTGATAGCTATTTTAGCTTCAAACTACCAGACTATTAGAATGTTTTCTAAGTTGAAGTTAAGTCCAATTATTGTACAGCTATAATGGAAAGGTCTAACAAAATATTGTATAACGATGCTCTCGCGGACTCAAAGGTGTTAAGACAAGCTTCAGATTATTAATATTGTGCCAATCAGCTCTGAATAAAAAGAGTGAAGCAAGCATTATATATTTAATATAGTTACATTTTATAGGGTCACACTGATATTGTGGAAAATTGTAGCAATAATGACTTATTCAAAAACTACATTATTCTTTCTCATAACACAATAATATTGCAAATTATTGATTGTCTGTTTTAAACATCTTAAAAAAAAAATAACTACCTTCAAAAAAAGACTGTCCAGAAGTATATCACAAAACAGGTACTATACCAAGTTTAACAAAAAGTAATGATAATCTAATAATGTCTGTTTTAATATGTCATTGAATGACAGGTATGTAGGTGACAAGGATAGGTGCCACGAATAGAAATTTTTGTAGAAACTGTTAGGAAGGTAGAATATACGAAACAATTGAGCACTTATTATGTCACCGTTTCGCTTTACCAGATAAAGGCTTAACAACTTGAATTTCAAGGATCAAACCTCAAACCTACAAGGATGAATAAAAATAAGAAATTGTCTAATACGTCACCATTCTGTCTCACAAATTTAAGAAATAGAAATTTGGAGATTATTTCTTGTCTATATAGTCTATCAGGTCTAGCAAACATCTCAATGGCATATATAAACTGCATATTTACTTACCGATTGTTGGTCTTTTGTTTGTAGATATCTAAACCTCTGTATGTAGTAGAAGATCAGCCAAACCAGAGATACAACCATAAGTACAATAAATGAAATTGAAACAAATAACACAGAAGTTCTAAAACGAAAAAAAGTAAATTTTTTTAAATATTATATATCAAATATGTAATATCATGCAATTGTTTAATATAACTTGCAATACGTAATAGTTTATAGTTTTGTTTTTAATATAAATGGTAGTACCATTGTATTAAAAATCCAATACATGAATAACGTAAACGTAGTTTTGAATATATCAGTGCGGTAAACTAAAAATTTATAACAATCATTTAACTATTATTTTCAAGAAGTTGGATACTCTTGTATTACAGTATTCTTTATATTCTTTATTATATCCTTATTTCATATTCTATATTCTTTATTAAGATATTATTTATTAAGACTTCAAAGCAGATAAAAGCTAGTGCATCCAAAAATTTGATCGAAATAAGCATTTAATAAGCTCTAGTGATTCTATAAATCTTATATTATGATTCGATCTGTTGAGTAATCTCAAGCCGAATAGTCTGTTATGTTCAGTGTAGTATTCAGCCCTGCGATTTATTTGTAATAAATCTCGTGTTATGATTGGGTTTGTTTAATTACTGTAAGGGGATGTGGCACTGCGACCGTCGGGTCTATTGTGCCCTTGAGTTTGTTTAATAACATCATTAAATAGTTTGAAACTAAAAGTGAATAACAACTCTGTGATTTAAATGTAATAAATCTCATATTATGATTCAACAGCAAATGCAACATTGCATTTATAACAATTTATATCATAATATCATTATATCATATTAAAGGCAATTATTATATTCAGTGGTATTTATTATGATAGAATCTTCAGTTTGAACGCACGATCAAAGTTATTGTATATTTTTTCTTATTAAAACTAAAAAATCATAAATTTGATTATTTATATACAATATTATAGAATTTTATATAAATTCTTAATACACATTTTTAAAGAATTTAATATTATGAACTAAATTACACAATTATTTATTAATTTATTAATATTGTTATAATAATATATTGTATTTAATCTAACCACATTTTTCAATTTCATGAATTCAATTGAAATCAAAAAGCTGAACAGTTTTGCCTCAATAAAAAGTGTACTGAAAGTTTTCAATTAGATACTTAAGAGTTAAAGTATGCAAAAAATAATTATTTATTAATTTATAAATATTGTTATAATGGTATATAATAAGGTACTATATTTAACCAAACACATTTCAAAAATTAATTAATTTAATTGAAATTAAAAAAGCTGAACTGTTTTTTCTACTCAACGTAGTCGAATTTTTCAATTAGATACTTAAAAGAGTTATTGTATTATGCATGATATTAATGAGCTTAAATTTTTTGTAAACACTTTTAATTGGCGCAATATAAATGCTTGGCAACCCTAGATAATTTTCTGTAATCACATGCATTAGTACAACTTTAGCCACGCAGCTGATTCAAGGGGATGTAGCTCAGTGGTAGAGCGCTCGCTTCGCATGTGAGAAGTCCCGGGTTCAAACCCCGGCATCTCCAGCGTCCACAGACAAAATTTTTTAAATTTATAATTAAAAAAATTTATTTCAAAAATGTGTAATAACTTTCTAATGCTTTATTTTATTCAAATTACTGCCATAAAAAACATTGTTCAATTTTATTTGAAGGTAATTGCTTGATATATTGAAGCGTTCAGTTTACAAAAAAGTTTTTTTTGTTTTTTATTGACAAAAAGAATTGGGTAAATTAAAATTAATCTGTGCCTGCTTATAAGTTCAGTGCACTGAACGTAAATATATGAACAAAATACGAACAAAAATACATTCAAGTATAGGCAACGATTAACGATTTCATCTCATGTAAGGCAAATGGAAATGTCAATGCTCTGATGATATTTTATAGTCCAAACAAATTTGTTCTTTTGAATGCAAATCGTTCAAACAGGGCCAAGTACGTTTTTACTTAATAATAAACTAAAGAGTAAATATTGAGAATAATAATGGTATATGGTAATTTAAAATTAACTTGATATTAAGCAGGAAATTCAGGAAAATTTTAACCAACACAATTTTAAAATTTAAATAAAACTGAATTAAATTTCTTTGTGTTTAAATGAAACTCGTTAAATCACCTAAAAATTACGCACAAAGTTAACGAACTTCTTTATTTAATCACAAAATTGTAATTTTGCTGAAATAATTGCCAACATTGTGTTTGTTTATTTTGCTGTCCATATTTTATTAGCTGTTTACCGATACTCACGTGCAGTAGCGCAGCATGAATCCAAACAAATTTTTGTGTAATCTGTGTAATTAATGTGTCAGCGAGATTATTTTACACTGATTAAAAACTATAAAAATGGTAGTTAATGTTGAAGTGTATGTGTAATTTGGGAAACACACATATTTATAAATGTAATTGTGAGTATTTAAAATATAGCAGATGCACAAATAGAAAATAACTGTGAAAGTGAGAAGGTCGATACAAAAAAGTAGTTTATAATGTACTACCATTTACTGCAATGTAATTGGAAATTGCAGGAGAGGTCTCAAAAATAGAAGCACAATTGCAACTGAGATATACAAATCGTTTAAAAAAACTGGGGTATATGGAATGGAATATAAAAGAACAGTAACAATATAAGAATCCATAAAGTTCTCAGATTAAATAACTCTGAGTATATTATTATTAATAAATATTGCAAATGTACCATTTAATCTTGTAAATATACCCAAAGTCTTTTAAAAAGCAATATAAAAGTACTGTGATTGAAAACAACAATAGTTTCAGTTATCTAGTAAGCATTACTATTATTGGCTCTTGCACTGTTGACGCTTTACAGTGCAGAATTCAAATAGCACAATTTGTCAGAAATATCAAAAAACAAAATTGAGTGGTTTTTCATTTGCTATCTATATAATATATTGAATATATGGTAACCCAGAATTATATCAAATGAAAAGTTGCTACAATAATAAAACAAGTTTATATTCAAGTTCAGATTAAAAGATATGAATTTACCTGGTGGGGCATACCAATGATAAAATATGTCATACAATTATATTGAGCGGATTCAGAAAAGCATTCAACAAAATCAACACTTAGCAGGATATAGAGAATTATGCTTTAAAAGATTTGGAAACCTTCATTCTTTTGACTTGCTAGTAGTTAAATAAAGCATAATGGCAAACCTATGTTTACAATCTATGCTTGTTATGAAATACTTTATTTTTTAGTTCTTAAGACAAGAAATATGTTGAAGTTTCTCATGAAGCCTATATGACTATAGTTAATTCGTTAAGTAGTTTATTTCAACACTAAAACAATTTTTGAATGTTTAATAATAATAAAATCCAAATAAAAAATAATATAAATTTATTGAAGTTATCAATATATAATGAATTGAAATTTTTTAATATTACTCACCTATTTAAAGTGTTAATAGGCCGCATGCCACTTTTGCCTTCAATAATGGCAGCTTCCATATCAAAACCTCGATCAACAATATCAGCCATACTTGCTCCGAGTTCTAGATAAGTTATCACAGCAGTTATATTACCTGAACGAAAAATAATTTTAAATTAGTTTTTGTTGATAAAGCTTTTAGTAATTAAAAACCAAAAATAGTCTAAAATAGATAAATGTAAATTTATGCATTTATGTACGAGGGACATGTACCATGTGTTGTGAAATTCAAACAATATATTCATAATAATAAACTCATATACTCATCAAAATATTTTGATATCTTCTTTCGGTGTTATAAAATTATTACAAATCATGGTTTGTACTATATACTTAAAAATTTTTTGACATCGTTTAGATAATGAGATTTTAATTAATATTTTATAACTTAAGGAAAATAATCGCATTTATTAGTTTCGAAGTAATTCTAAAATGCTACTTTAATATGAATTGCTTTGAACTGAAATCATTAAAGTATTTTTAGAGAAATATTTTAAAGAAATCATATAACTAAATTTGTTATAAATATTTGGTAATCTTTATTAAGAAGATCTGTAGAAAATCAGTATACAAGATTCTTAACATCGAATAGTCATAAGAGCTTCAAACATGGTTGAACTTGCGGGCATATTCACTGGAACCGTGTTCGATTAAATTAAAAATATACAGATTTTCTTAACTGTGATTAAATTAATTTATGGATTTATTGACAACTGAGTATATAAATAAGTCCCTAAGAAGGTTAGAGCTACTCAACTATTCATTTTGCAAGCATGATTAAAAAACTGCTTTGATTTATACACAAAATTAAAAATTAATTGGAACTTTATGTCTATCAAAGTCTTAGTAACTGCTACCAACAAAAGCAATGATTGCATTCTTATTCTATCCAACATAGAAACGGTCACTTTCATTTGGTCATGTAACATAATTATACAAAGATTTACTGTCATATATCTTAGTTTCATATTCTTTTCTGCATTCTAAAATTACTCTGCACACATCTCTTTTACAATGTCAGCACTTTTTGATAAAAAGAAATTAATAATTATTAGTCAATAATTTTCATTGCACACTCTTCATGCATCGCTAGTACAAGAACTATTTACTTAAGCCTTAATTATTTAAAAAATATGAAGGTGATCCTTTAGAATTTTCCTTTTAAAGATATAGAGCTATTAAGAAACCCTCTTTAAAACCAAGAGGAAAAATCAGGCTTAGATACTTTACAAAATGAGGTTTTCTTAAAGTTAAGAAAAGTATAGTTAACTAATAATTATAATCACAAAAGTAATAAAAATAAATGAATTTGTTTTTAATTTATACTTAAAAAACGACCCTCGTATAATCAATAAGAATTTTATTACCCTAAAATATATTTGTTTTAATATTGATCAAGCTGTCACGTGTAGTGTTTTATCGGGTAATTAATATTTTAAGATTCTATTTTAATTTAAATTTTAATTTATTTATATATATATAAATATAACTAAATTCTAGACTGGATCCATTACAAAATGGAGGGTCGCTTAATTTTGCTTTGGGTATAAAGTTGGCAGAACTTGACTTAAACAGTTTAAAAACTATTATGAAAAATATTATTTGACAGCTGTATAATATATTGTATTATAATACAATGATATATATAAATAGTAAATAAAATAAATAAAAATAATAAAATAAAAATTAATTACTTAAATCTTGAAATTCTTGAAATATTTTCACAGTTGGTATAAATAATTTCTCTTCTCTGTTAGTTGGAACCCAGAGGGGTGCAAAATCATTAAACTATTCGTTCTATTTTTAATGGTAATATAATTATCAAATAATAAAAATAGATAATAATAAAAAAGCAATTATATTATAATAAAATTATATAAAATTAATCTATTGTTGAAAAAAATATCTTCTTCGCTTCCATTAATTTTTTTTTGATTGTCTGAGATTAAAAAATTTAAAAAATTTTTCATTTTCTGATAAATAAACATTAAATTTGTTTTATTTTTGTTCTTAAAAGTATTCAAGAAATAACTTGTTGAACATATTTCAATATTTCAATGTAGTGGAAAGTAGTAACACAAGTTATAAAATTATTAAAACGCTTATTCATTTATAATTTAATTTTCACACAAAATTGGAAGTCTATACGCACATATGTTCTTTAATTAAAATTTATTAATCGACTTACGAGTTTTGCCCTTTATTTGCATTTTTTCCAGGTTTGGAACTGTCTTATCATTGTACACAATAACGCCTGCTGCGCCCTTGTAGTGCACATTCTTCACCTTCTCCTCGAAAGTACAACGACCGCGACGCACTAAAGCAATCCATGACACACCAGACGATGGTGTTGGATTACCGAGTGTGCCCAAAATATTTGGTGAGCATGCATAGTCATCAGTGAAATCATTCGCATCGGTAACGTGCACTAATTTACCTTTGACAGACAGAATTCTACCCTCACCATAACGTGCCTTCTCTTCTGCATATTGCACCTCGTGCTTAATGTGATCATCGCCGTAATAGGTGTAATTGATGAAGGCAAATGTATATGTATCCATAGCAATGCGATCTTCGGTCATCACGGCTAATGACTGTGAAGCATTCACTGAACGAAAATAGCGTTCTATGTCCTGATTGCCAATTGACATCGCAGCTACAAATGTGGTGGTTGTCGTTGTTGAGGTTAGTCTGAGGCCACCGAGCAGACCAACTAAACAAACAAACAGGAATAACTCCTTTGAACACATTTCGATGTATCCTCTTTATTAAGCGTTTGGGTTAAAAATTTTCTCGATTTAAAATTTGTTGCACTCGAAATCGGCACTTTGTGTTGTTGCTTTTTGTATCCAGCAATCTTTTTATCGATTCAGTTGTTTTATAAAATATTTCAACGAAAGATTTTTTTGTGAAAATTTATTTTGAGATATTTTTGCATTTAAGCTTTTGTTTTCTCTCAACATTGATAAGTGAATTTGTTAATTTTTTTTTATTATTTTCTTGTGCCGTTGACTGCTCACGTTTCGTAAGAGTTTTTCACCTTTCGTTTTTCAATGTAGCAACGTTTCTGAAAATGAAAATAAAAAATATTCAGTTTTTGCTGAAAATCAATTTGATATTTGCAAAAATAAAATATATTGCATGTGTATTGGTCTGTGTTTGTGTTCAAAGATATGACATTTTAAAACATTTATGATAAGATTTCGAAATTTGTTTGTAAAAAATTTAAAAGTGTGCGGTGCTTTTCTGATTCCTTTTCATTTAGAAGACGCAAAATTTCATAAATTGTAGTTTTTTTTCGTTAGATTTTCAAGTCATGCAAGAGAAAAGGGAAATAATCTTTCAGAAGATTAGATTTACCTATACCGATTTGTTTTTTAACAACAAATATCCAACAAATAACACATCAGCTTTATTACCCATATTTATCAAGTATTAGTATATATTTTTTTAATAAGATAAATTATTGAACTTTTTCAATAGTGTTTAACTGTTTACGTTAAATTGAAGCACAAATAATACAGACCTTTTTAAGGTATTACAATAACATAAAAAAAATTGAATAAGAGAAAAAACTTTTATATATATTTCTAGTAGCATCACCTTACTAACCATTTCCTACATTCCTACGTCTATTCTACTAAACATAACAATTCCATGTAAATGTCACCATTTTAAATAGGCAAAACTTGTGCCGAATTGCTTGTGTATTGGCACTGTCTTTCCAAATATAATTTATTCAATTCTATTCTCCATTCTACTAAACCTCACTAAATCTACATTAAACAGTACCATTTTTAAACAACAGACAAGACTCAATGCGAATCTCTCACGCATAGACCAGATTAACACGACACGTTTTGTGGAGCAGTTAAATGGTAGAAGTCATTCCTCCAAATATTGGGCGACACATATTCGTGTGGTCATCGACAACGTACATTGATTATCCATTTAGAATGAATTACATAAAGCTTGAAAATACGTATAAGATCTTCAAATGCTGTCAGGGCTGTCATACCCTATTTTATTATTAACCGATAAGAGAATTAATATTCTATTACTGTCTGATAATATAATTAATATTCTATTATTGATCGTTTATCAACTATTCGGAACTCTTAACTGTATGTTCATGTAAATGTCATAGAAGATAAACTAAGTAATGGAAATGATTCTCAAGGAACTCTAGAAAAGATGTGTTCATAAAGTGCATATGAACAGATCTGGAATGAGTATATGAAAAAGCAGGAATAAAAGTGCGGCGAATCAGTGTGGCATTGCTGTCAAATTTTAAAAGAAGTGTAAAGATAAGTGCACCCAATTTATACTAGTGATGTTCTTGAAAGGTTGCAGAACTCTTATAACAGTCATAAGTGAGCTGATGGGTCACAGTTTATTTTCGCCAAAGCGAGCCAACAATAAAAGAGAACTTAAAACATTTCTAATTTTATGTCCTGCCTTGATGCATATATGCTTAAAATGGATTAATTTCAGGAAGTTGACGTACGCGTCAGGAATAGAACAGAATAGTTTAAGTACTTCTTAGTTTCGCAAAAAAGGTAGATATCATACATGCTGCCTACTACAAATCTACATTGATATCAACCTCAATGCACAGATTACGGTTAGAATATATCCAAGGATAGATTAGCTAGCCAAGTTGACTTAACCCTAACTGTTAAAAAAATAAATTAAAAATATTTATTATTAAAAAATTAAAAAAAAAAAAAAGAAAAGGGTGGATGACGATTGATCTTAAAGATGAATAGAAATGCTTTATTAAGATATGGCATAAATATCATAACTAAACAATTTTAGTTTATACTATCGATAATGTTTTAATCTAATTTGAAACTATTATTTTAAAATTAGTTGATGGTGATGTGAGTTTTCATAGCACCTGGGTACGGAATAACTAAGTAGCGCTTCTTACTAAATATTGAATGAAAACCTGACTAAATCGAGAAGAATTTTCATGTTTGTCGACTAATGCGCCAGAGGCGTTTATTTCTCCTTATTCACGCGTTGCACTGCCACTCGTACGGTTACGGTTGTATAATAAATGTCATCAAAAATTTTATATATATATGTTTTACTATAAAACTTGTTACACACAAAAAGAAAGTTCATTGCACCACACCCACACAGCCATGCGCAAAATCGGTGGTTACCATTGTCATTTGCATGACGTTGATTCCATGCAAATAAAGCTTTAGAGCCATGATATGCAGTCAAACCTGCTATATTCAAGGCATTCTTTATATGACAATATCTAAATGCTGAAATGGTAGACATAATCACTTAATATCTATATCTTTGTAAAGAAAAATCGTTATGATTGCTGCAATGACAACGACGATAATTAACTGCATTTATTGTGGTTTCATGGTCAATAATATCGCAAAGTACACTGTTTCAATGAAAAGCGAAGAGAATATAAAATTTGTAATGAAATGTCATAAAAGTTGACACTTTGCAGTTGACTGCCTGCAGTTGAATGCAGTTGTATGCAATTCAACTGCAAACAAAAATTTAAAGTTTATTTCAACCCACAGTCGTCCACCTAAAGGCCAACATTTCATAGTGCATAGTTCCACACATCGTATTTCATTCAGTTTGGAACTGCAGCTGACTTTGAGTTTGAACTGGTTTTAAGGCTTACTTTATGAGTAAATAAATAAAACATGTTATACAGGGTGTATAAAAAAGTGTGTGGGATTAATACTTTGAATACTTGCAAATTGTGGTTATTTTGAAATGATTTCCTTTAAGTTTTATACGAGTGGAACGCTATTAGTATTTTAAATTTCAACCACAAACACGGTTTTCCCATTTTAATATTACTTTTAGTATTTTATGTATCACAGAATGTACGGAGTTATTCTATATCAATAAGTATCCTTATTTTTAAGGAAGTCGCATTTATATAAGTGTTAAGTATTTATGGATCGATGATATGGTAATATGGTATTTGCATTATTAAAGATTGTAAGTTAAGTTATTTAAGTTAGATTTAAATGAATTTAGTAATCTAAGTTAGATTTAAATGAATTTGAAAAACTATACATTTAA